ATAGAGCACAATTTTTCATATCTCTGGTTGTATACAAAGTATATTCACACCAATTCATGTCTTTATACATGTACTTTGATAATAATGATCATCATTATTTCCATTCTCATACCAAATAAAGTAGATGTCAAGCCAAAGTTAATCAAAGGGGATAAAGAAGGACACTACATACTGTTCAAGGGAACCATACACCAACAAGACTATATAATTATATGTCCCAAACATTCATTAAACAAACTCTTCTCAAGTTCAAGAGTCAAATAGACCACAACACAATACTTTTGGGTGACCTTAACACACCTCTTTCATCACTAGATAGACCTTCCAAACAAAAGCTGAACAAAGAAACTGTAGAACTCAGTAATACAATCAATAACTTACGACTTAACTGACATATATGGAATATTTCATCCTTCAATGAGAGAATATGTTTTCTTGTCAGTAGCACATGGGTCCTTCTCTAAAATACACTGTATGGCATTTTCTCTTTGGCTTATTTTAGCATATATGCTATAATATGAATGAACCTTGAAAATTTTCTTCATGTTGTAGCATGTATCAATAAGTATTTGATTCCCGTTTGTGTCCCAGTAATATTCCATTGTGTGGACACAATGTTTTGTTTATCTCTTCATCAGTTGGTATTTGCTTGGTTTGTTTTAAGTTTTTGGCCATTAAGAATATTGCTGTAGGGGCTGGGGATATGGCTCAAGTGGTAGCGCGCTTGCCTCGCATGCGTGCAGCCTGGGTTCGATCCTCAGCACTACATACCAACAAAGATGTTGTATCCGCCGAGAACTAAAAAATAAATATTAAAAAAATTCTCTCTCTCTCTCTCTCTCTCTCTCTCTCTCTCTCTCTCTCTCTCTCTCCCCCTCTCTCTCCGCTCTCTCTCTCTGTTTAAAAAAAAAAAAGAATATTGCTGTAAGCTCTATTCACAGTAGCTAAGCTATGGAACCAATCTAGGTACCCTTCAACAGATGAATAGGTAAAGAAAATGTGATATGTAAACACAATGGAATATTACTCAGCCATAAAAAGAATGATGTTATGACTGTTGCTGGTAAATACATGGAGATTATCATGCTGTGTGAAATCACCCAGTCCCTCAAAATCAAAGGCCAAATATTCTCTATGATATATGGATGCCAGCATATAATAGGGTCGGTCAAATGACATTTTGTAAGTGTGTCAAGACCAGTCTGTGAGGAAAAAATAGTCTTTTCAACAAATTGTTTTATAAAAACAACATATACAAAAGAATAAAATTGGACCAAGACCTCAAATCATATATCAAAATTAACAACAGATCAAAGACAACCAAAACAATGGGATCCTAATTAGAATAAGTTATATTCCATGTGTGATGTGTCAAAAACACTCTACTGTCATGTAAATATAAAAACAACAAATAAAAAATAAATTCTAAAAATGGATCAAAGAGTTAAAAATATGTAGTTTGGAGAAATTAAAAAAGGTATAAATTCTCATTATTTTAGAATAGAATATTTCTTAAATATGACACCCACAACAAAAGCAAGAAAAAGAAAAATCATAAAATTAGTTTTCCTCAGAATTTAAAATGTTTCTTATTATGGGACATTATCAAGAAAGTAAAAAGGCAACATATGTGATGTGAAAATATATTTGCAAATCACAACTGAAAAAATTCTGGCTTTCAGGATATGTAAATAATTTTCATAACTCAACAATAAAAATTCACATAAAAAGCTCAATTTAAAAAAAATGAACATAGGACTTGAATAGACATTTTTCCAAAAAAGGATAGACAGATAGCCAACAGAACAAACAAAAAGCAATTTAGCATCATTAGTTATTAGTGTAATGAAACTTAAAAGCACAAAATACCATTTCCCACCCAGAAGAATGGCCATTACCAAAACACAGAAAATAACAAATGTTGGCAAGGATGAATAAAAATAAGAAGGTTATAAACAACAGTGCAATTGTGGTGTAAAACAATATGGCATTTTATCAAAAAATTAAATGTTGCCAAGCATTGTGGTACACACGTGTAATTCCAGCAGCTTGGGAGGCTGGGACAGGGCAATTGAGAGTTCAGACTCAGCCTCATCAACTTAACCAGGCCATAAGCAACTTGATCCAGAGGTCTCAAATATAAAAAATAAACTGGAGATGTCATTCAGTATTTAAGCACCATTGGGTTTAATCCCCAGTACTAAAAACAAATAAATAATTAAACACTGTGTTACCATATGATCTAGCAATTATATTGGTAAGTATATACCCAAGAGAACTAAAATACATAAAAAACTATAAATGTGAATAGCAGTATTATTTTTAAGTGCTGGGAATTAAACCCCAGGGCCTTGTGTATGCTAGCCAAGTACTCTACCACTAAGCTACATCCCCAGTTCCCTTGTCCCCATCCTCCCCAATTTATTTTTTTCATTTTAAGATTGGGTTTCATTAAATGGCCCATACTGTCCTCAAACTTGCAAATTTCCGGAGTAGATGGGATTATAGGCATGTGCAACCGTGCCAGGTATAGTAGCAATATTTTTTTTTTTGTTTTTAGATATACATAACAGTAGAGTGTATTTTGACATATTATACATACATGCAATATAAGTTATTCTAATTAGAATTCCATAATGTGGAGTTTCACTTGAAGATTTTTTTAAATCTCATAGATCTCCAGAAGATAGATTAAATTCTGAGATGTTAAAAAGACATACATGTTTAATATTTTATCAGTCACTTTGTTTTCATCTCTACTGTTTCCTGTTTAATTCCTTTGCCCATTGTCTTTTATTTTTTTCTAAAGAATTTATCACGGGGGCAGGGACTGGAGCTGTGGCTTAGCTGTGGAACACTCACCTAGCATGTGGGAGGCCCTGGGCTCCATCCTCAGCACCACATAAATTAAAAATAAATAAATAAATAAATAAATAGATAGATAGATAGATAGCTCTCTCTATATATAAAAGATTTATTACGAGTTTTTGCTGAAATGATGAATATTCATTCTTCAGGATTCAGCTGAAGTGTAAAACTTGCAGTTCCCTCCACACAATCCTTCTTTATTTCTAATAGTATATCTTTCCGAATAGTTCACAAAGACCTCTATATAACTTTGTTTTAGCATTAATTATGTTGAATTGTAATTCTTGGTTTACTTGTCTAACAGTAACTGTATTTTTTTAGTGTAAAGATGGTGTCTGTCTCCTCAGATCTTAGCAAAGACTGTTTGAATTTTAGGTTGAAAGTTTTTCTTTTTCCTTTCATCATTTCAGTAATTTTACTCCTTTGTCTTTTCTTGTACATAATTTCTATGAAGTCTGCTTTTCTTTTTTTTCCCTTCCTCCTTCCCACTCTCCTTTCCTTTGTTTCTTCCACATAAATAAATCATGTGCTTTATACTGAGCTACATCCGTATCTCTTTGTGTGTGATGTGTTTTTCTGTTTTTAGGGTTTTTGTCTTTAACATGTGTTTAAAGCAATTTGATTATAATGTGCTTTGGTATGTTTTTACATCTATTTGCGAATTGTTGAACTTCTTCCATCTTTGAATTTTTAGTTTTCTAGATTAAAAGATTTTTTTTGACATTGTTTCCTTAAATAAATTTTCTGTTCCTGCTCTTCTACTTTTTCTAAGTGTTCAGTTACTAACTGAATTACTAATTGCTTAATGTTTCACAGTTCATTAAGGCTTTTAAAAGTTATTATTTTTTCTTCTCTGGTCTTTATTTTCTGGAAACTTTCTAGGAAACTTATAAAATGTACCTCAGAATTGTTTGCTTGGGGTGAAGGAGGAGGGAGAGCATTTATCCCTACATATTCCAGGTTCTGTTAACATGAATCCAAAGTAGTTTCTAACCTTGTCTCAAAATGTATCACCTTAGGCAACTTCAGCCAGAGTCTGCACTGAATTGGTGTCCATAGTGGTTAGAATAAGAGTTGGGGAGTGAGGCTTTTAAAGTGATATATGAGAGATGTTAAATACTATCTCTGTGTGGATATGGATTTGGAAGATGATAAACACAGGTTTGTGAGATAGGGGAGAGAGTGAGGTGCCTAAATCTACTGTAATTTCATCTTAGTATATAGCTTATATGAGTCAGCCTAAACTATCATAAATAAATGTGAAAATATGATAGTTTATCATAATACTAAATGGAAAAATTGAAATTTAATTCCATGTGATCTGATCAAGAGCCCTATATCCTATGCTTCATATCACAAATATTTATGAAGTATTTACTTTATACCAAGCTCACTATTTGCCAGTATTATGGAAAAATAACATTTTTGAATTTAGTGGGGTAGAGAGGGGGAGCATGGGAGGAATAGATAAATTCTAGATAGGGCAGAGGGGTGGGAGGAAAAAGGAGGACCAGGGGATTAGCAAGGATGGTGGAATGTGATAGACATCATCATCCAAAGAACATGTATGGAGAAGACACAAATTGGTGTCAATGTACTTTATATACAACCAGAGGTATGAAAAATTGTGCTGTATACATGTAATAAGAATTGTAATGCATTCCACTGTCATTTATTTTTAAAAAATCTATAAAAAAACATTATGATAGTTTAATTTATCCTGATAGTTTTTGCATCTGAAAAATGATATGATAGATGCTCATATGGTTATTATGACAGAATTCTATGGGTTAATAGACATAAGAGTTTTTTAAAATGTAGATTTGCTAGTAATTTGTATGTGTTAACTTGTATTATTTCATTTTTTTTGATGATTAACTTGATCTAAGAACTATAATTTCTTCAGCAAAACTTTTGTGTTTATGGATATTATTCTAGTTTATATTTTCATTCATTATTCTGAGAATTTCTGAAATAAACTAATTTAAATTATTATCAGAATTGCATATCTATTTGATTTAATTCCATTTAAAAATATTGTGAATGTATACCCTTTTTCCGCTGCAATTTAATTCATTTAACATGTTGTTTATTAATGCTACCTATTGTTATTTTTCTGTTTTCTTTTGCAGGACCAAAAGATCTCAAATTGTTATGACTGAAGGTATATTTGAACTTCCAAATCTCACAATTCAAGCTACAAGAGCACAGACACTTCTGCTGCAAGCAATATATCAAAGTTGGTCTCATATTGGAAATGTTAGCTCTTCAGCAGTGAATGAAATTTTGATGAATGAAGTCTTTCAAAATATAGGTAAGAAAATAGTTTTCTTGAAAAATAAATGGGAAATTTGTAGCAGAGGTGAGTAATAATTTGTCATTTAAATTCATATGTTATCATGTTTAACTTCTGTCATTTCTGTTGAAATTGTGTATTTATAGCTTATGTTTAATAATATAACTTATGCCATAAACCTTCAATTTTGTTCTCTGATACAAATTTTTGGATATGCTTTATACTTTTAAGATAATATTTTTCTACTAATACACAATTTTAAAATTTATTTTAATCCATTAATTTATGTTTTTAAATTGATACAGGTATTGAACCCAGGGTTGCTTACCACTGAGCCCTTTCTCCACTCTTTTTATTTTTTATTTTGCGACAGGGTCTTGTTTAAGGCCTTGTTAATTGCTTTGGCTGGCCTCAAATTTGGAATCCTCTAAGTCTGGAATCCTCCTGAGCTGCTGGGATTACAGGCTTATGCTACTCTGCCCTGCAAGTTTTAATTTTTTTAAATTGGGACATCATGAATGTATATCCTTACAGGATACAATGAAAAGGATATTTTTAAAACTTTTTTTAAAGTTGTTTATAGACCTGTATTTTATTTATATGTGGTGCTGAGAATCAAACCCAGTGTCTCCCACATGCCAGGCAAGTGCACTACTACTTTACCACAGCCCTGGCCCCCTAAACATTTTGATATATGTTTGTAATATGTAATGATTAAATCTAGTCTTTAACATGCTGATAAATGCTACATGTCTGTGGTGAGACATTTTAATGTACTCTTCCAACGCATTCTGAATGTTATTATTAGCTGTAGTCACTATGCTAGTCAATAGGTCTCAAAAAATTATTTCTTGTAATTAAAAATTTTTTACCTTTTGACAACATCTCCACAATTCCCTTTCTTCTTTAACCTTACTACCCAGATTTGTGCAATCACAATCATATTGTCTATAAGTCTGACTTTTTAAAATTCCACTTATAAGTAAAATCATATGATACTTGTCTTTCTGTGTCAGGCTTATTTAACTTAGCATAATGTCTTCGAGATTCATTCATCTTGTTGCAAATAATAGCATTTTCCTTTGTTTTTGAGATAGAATAATATTCTTTTACACATATACATACAAACACGCAAACACAGTTTTATTTATCCATTGATGGATACTTTGGTTCATTGCATATCTTGGTAATTGTATATAATTGCTTCAGTGAGCAGGAACATGCAGATCTTTCTTTGATTTTATTTCCTTTGGATATAACCAGAAGTAAGATTATTGGATCATATCATATTTCAATTATTAGATTTTTGAGGAACCTCCATATCTTTTTCCAAAATGAGTTTATTTATTTTTATTCCTACAAAGTGTGTATGTACCAGGTGTTCTCTTTTCTTTACTTCCTTGTCAATCTTTCATTTTTTTTAATTATAACAATTTTATCAGCTCTGTGGTAAAATCTCATTATGGATTCACTGTGTATTTTTCTAGTGTTTAATGAGTTTCAGCACTTTTTTTTATGTACTTGTGCAGCATTTTAGTCTTTTTAGAAGTGTTTGTTCAGGCCCTTTCTGTGTTTTTTCATTGGTTTATTTATTGCTATTGAGTTGTTACCTGTGGGCTTATCATACATGGCTTTCATTGTATTATATGTTTCTATAATATTTTGATAGTTATATTCATGACAGGGTGTTGAATTTTGTCAGATGCTTTTTCTATATCTGTTGAGATGGCCATGTATGTAGTTTTTTGTTCATTTTATTAATAGGTATTTTGGGAAAATCTAATGTAATTGAACTAGTGACCTTAGGCAGAAGATCTTGTGATACTGAAGAAAGAGTAAGGCAGATCCAGTATCAGAGTGCAGTTTTGAGTGACTTACTGAATATGTATGTCAAGGGGAGCAGCAAGAGTGCTATTTCCCTACAACCTGGGTAAGAGGGATAAGACTTAGATAAGGTGAGGTAAGAGTGGCTTTCATTCAAACCAGAGTGTGTATCTGGTTTATCTCAAGTAACTTTGAAGATACCAGGTACATTGCCGACAGTGACTTTACTAGTTTCTGTTTGTAAAGCTCCACATATCACTGTGTTTGATTTATTTATAGTGGGCTGGGAAACTATGGTTACTCAGAGACAGTCATAGTGGTGACAATTCAAGATGGCTGTAGTCAGGTCAAGCTGTATTCCTATACTGCGCTTATATTTATTGACCCACTTTGAGCCATCAACAGTGGAATCCCAGGGGTAAATGGATCTCATTTAATTATATTTAATAATTTTTTAATGTTATTGAATTTGATTGAATTTTTGCATCGAATTTCGAAGGATTTTTGTATCTATGTTATACTTGTTCGTCTTTGATATTCGGGTAATGCTAGTCTCATAAATGAGTTTGAAAGAAAACACTCTTCAATTTTTGGAATAGTTTGAGAAATATTGCTTTTAGTTCCTGCTGATGGTGTTTTCTGATTCTATGTTTTGTGGTATCAGTTATAATAACTATCTCCTCATTCATTTATTATTTATTTGCATATGGTCTCTTTTTTTCTGAGTCTAGTAAAAAGTTGGAGTATTCTGTTTATCTGTTCAGTACACCAATGCTTAGTTTTTTTTAATTAAAATTTTTTTTCCTAGTCTCTATTTCATTTATTTCTGCTCTGATCTTTTTTTTTCTGTTTATAATTTTGGGTTGAATTTGTTCCTCTTTTTCTCGTTTCTTAAAGTGTAACATTAAATTATTATTTGAAATCTATCTTTTTTTTTTTTTTTAGGATAGACATTTATTTTCCTCATGGAACTGTTTTTTCTGCATTCCATAGATTTAATATGTTGTATTTCCAGTTTCACTTCTCTGACATTTGTTCTGTGTAATTAAAACCTCTGATTTTTGGTACATGTATATACTTACATTTTTACATCTTCTTAGATAATTAAGCCCTTTATCATTATATAATGACTTGTTTTGTCTACTTTTATAGGTTTTCTCTTAGTCTGTTTTGTTTGATATGAATATAGCTACCTCTTTCTATTAGTATGGGCTATGTTTTCTATTAGTATGGGCTATGTTTTTCCATCTCTTATTGTGTTAGTCAGCTTTTTATCACCGTGTCCAAAATATATGAAAAGAACAACTTAGAGGAGGAAATTTTATAGTTCCCTTATTGTTTCATAGGTTCAGTGCATGGTTGGCTGACTCCATTGCTCTGAGCTTGGAGTGACGCCAAACTTCATGGTGGAAGAAAGCTTCTTAGTTCCTGGCATCTGGGAAGCAGAGGGAAAAAGGGAGAGGGATGAAGCCAAGGACAACATATAGTCTATAAGAGCATTTCTCCAGGGACCCACCTCCTCTACTCATGACCCGCCTGCCTGCATTAACCATCCAGTAATCCATTCAAATTATTCATAGAATGGATTAATCTACTGATTAGGCTATGACTTTTGTAATCTACTTATTTTACCTCTGAAAAATTCTTTTATTGTCTAACTTGAGCTTTTTGGGGATACCTTAATTCCAAATCATAATACTTATACAATTGGAGTTTTGTACTTTCATATGTTTGAAGTTATTATGTAGCACTTTTCATGTCATTTTTAAAGAACTCCCTTTACTAATTCCTTTAAGACAGTTCTTTTGGTGATAAAAACCACTCAGCTTTTGTTTATCTGATAAAGTGGTATTGTCCTCTCACTTCTGAGAGCATGTTTGCCAAATAAAGTGTTCTCATTTGGCAGGCTTTTTCTTCAATACTTTGTATATGTCATCCTACTTTATCCTGATCTTCAAGATTTCTGGTGAGAGATGTACTGATAAATACCTTGGAAATCACTTGTATGTAATTTGTTTCTTATCACTTGCTATTTTTCAGAATAATTTCCCTTTCTTTGTTTTTTTTTTTTTTGACAATTAGAGTATGATATGTCTTGGTAAATTGATTTCAGGTTGAATTTTGTTGAAAATATCTGAAATTCATGTGACTGAATGTTGGCATCTTTCATTGAATTTGTGAATTTTTCAATAATAAATATGCATTTTAGCTCATTTTCATTCTTTTCTCCTTCTATAAATTTGTATTATGCACATGTTAATTCTCTTAATAGTGATCCATAATGAGTTTTTTTTTGTTCTTTTTCATTATTGTTTTCCTTTTGCTATTCTGGATAGTTTCAAATGTTATGTCTCTGAACTCAGTGATTCTATTTTCTGCTGATGGACTCTGCTCTTAAAGTGTTCAATGGAATTTTAAGTTCACTTATAGTATTCTTTTATATTTTGTTTTAAGACATGGTCTCACTAAGTTGCTTAGGGCCTTGTTACGTTGCTGAAGTTGGCCTCCAACTTGTGATCCTCCTGCCTCAGCCTCTTGAGCCACTGGGGCTACAGGTGTGCACTACCATGCCTGGCAGTTTGTAGTATTCTTTTTCTGTATGAATGAAATTTTTAAAAGCTATTTGTTTCTTTCTTAGACTTCTTGAGTTATTCATGTCTTTTCCTCCAAATTTCTTTTAATTTTCTGTTTATACTTTCTTATGGTTCTTTGAACATCTTTATGATGATTATTCTGAATTATTTTTCAGTCATTTATCAGATCTCTATTTCTGTAGGGCTCATTATTGGAGCTTTATTAGTTAGTTTATTTCTTCCTATACTCTTTTTTTTTCTGTCTTTGGGTTTGATCTCAAAGACAGGCACCTGTTCTGCCTTCTAACTATGCTTTCATTCTATTAGTTTCTTTTAGTGGTTTCATAAAAATTTATAATATTTGTGTATATATACATTGTGTTTGAGCATATGCCCTTTGCAGCCTTTGCAGCTTTTCTTTGGTGGGGGTGGATAAACCTTCAGGGTTCATTTAGCCTGGTATTCTGGATGGGCCAGTTGGTAATGATAAGAGGCCGACAGATTTTGCTGTAAAGTTCTCTAATTGAGCTGGGTTTTTGGCTATTCTTTGAGGTCAGAAGGGGCTGCTAGCTATGCTTGTTAATTCAGTGAGGTCACTGGCAGGGCTCCCTGATGAAGCAG